TAAAACGTAGCCCAGCAGCACTTATGCTCGTGATATCATGTGTAGTAAATGGACTTCCTCTGTCACAAATGGAATCTCCTCCTCACCACCACCAGCATATTTTGTATCTTTGTAAGATGAAAAAATCAATTCAAAATATCAATTCAAAGCTACTACTACAGTACTATTTTGGGTGCTGTATTGTTTTGGAACATTTTGCTCACCAAGTAGTAGTAGTATAAGAGTTACAAAGCATTACTAGTAGAGATAGCAACATTACCAAAAAATTTACAAAATATTTTCCCACCACTGTTAGTAGTAAGATTAATCTAACTCTTTCCAAAGCTGAGCCAAGAGAAATAATGCAATGTTCTGACCTCTATTCCTACTACTAGTAGTAGTATCTAAACAAAAATTAGTCTTTTGTCTATGGATAAGCAAGAAATAAATAAAATGAAAGTACTCTGTCCAAGATAGGCAGGTATAGTACTACTAACATACTACTGTACTACTACATTGAAAGTTATGAGTCTTCTTAATTGGTGGTCACCAATAGGCAGATGACTATTGTTCCAACATGACATCCAACACTATTTTCTATAGAGAAAACATCTGGTAATAATACCACAGCTTGATTCTTAGTATCTGTGCTGGCTACCAGCAAACACAGAATGAGCAACAAGGTCACAGTGGTTTGAATCCCACAACTCCATGAAAAATAGGTTCTTAGTAGCTATGAGTGTTGGATAAATTCTTGTCTTGCTGGGCCACCAGTGGATATCCCTGTGGTATTATTTTATGCAGTCAAATGAAGAAATGGTACAACTCCTCCAGCAAAAGCTCAACTACTGTCATCACTACTAGTAGTAGTAYGAATTCTGCAGCCAAAAAGCACAGAGAAGGCTCATAACTTTGTGAATTAAGTGGCCTCCATTGCCACAATGATCATTTATATTCTTTTCTTTGGTCAAGAAGAAGAAGAAGAACAAGAACAACAAGAACAACAAGAATCAAGAATGCATGATTCACCAGGGCCAACAACCACCACCAGGAAAAACTGTACAAATTCACAGGAGGTGATGACTGAAAATGCCTGAATGATAGCATGTTYGTGTTGGAGCCTTTCTTCATAGAAGGAGGGACACATGAATGTCAGTGCAAGTTAATTGTGTATTACTAGTACTACTACTAGTAGTCGTACGATAGTAGAGCARTGAAATTGATTCGAAAACTGCTAAAAATATTTCAAGAATTAATAGTAGTAGTACTACCGTACTTCAGAACTGGAATCAATACTGTAATACTGTACACTAGAGTTACTAAGTACAATTCCTGTGCTGGCAAGTTATTGGCATTCCCCGTACTACTACTACAAATACTAATAGAAATTTTTAGCTCATTTTTACAGTTAAAACCAGTTAAAAAAGGCATCCAACAGACAAAAATAAAAATATTTCCATTGTTCAATTTCTCGCTAGTGGTCCCAAAATATTTCTATTACTGGTCCTTAATACTGGGGATAAGCACTGATTTTGTATCCACAGCAGTAAGGATCTCTAATAGAAATATTTTGGGACTTYGTAGTTTTTTTGTGTGGAGGGGGGGAGAGGGGAAATAAAGACGGGAAATTGCCTTTAACTTGCCAGCACTGGAATTGTACTTAGTAGCTCTACTGTACACACAATTTACTACCTACGCACAGACGTGATCACTGGTTTCGATGGCTGTTATCTGTGTTCGTTGACCGTGGTTCCTTGAAAGCACTCTCTGTATTAAAAGAAAAGTCGTTGCCTATCGTACTCGTACCTTATTGGAGGAAGGTCGCTTTGTTCCATTCATTCAAGGCCAGTCAGGTACTCATCCGATTMTATTAAAGACATGAGCTGCAGCGCTAGTGGTAGAAAGGCACTTCAGCATGCGGGTACTGGCAGTATATTGTCAGCAGAGAGCAGCCTTCTATCGGTGGGGGAAAACTGTGCTAGGAAAATGATACGTTCTCGTCGGAATTACGCCACTCTACCGGTACAGTCAATGTCTTGGGTCAGACCTGCCACAAACAATGCGTTGATGATGATTACAAAACAATATCCGAGTCCTTTCGCAGATCATTACCAGGAACAACGACAACACCAATCGGTATCCTTCGGCACATCAACAACCGAGAAATCTTCCGAAGATTTTTCTAGGTTTTCTATGGTCGAACTGAAACAGCTAGCCACAAAATCGCTACGACAGTATCAGCGAGAAAACGAAAGTTCTGTATCGCCGTCACACCGGGCGGAAAGCATCCTGCAACACATTTTAGAAAGGTCAACGCAACCGCTGGATGACGGAGAAGCAGAAGATTTGTCTAATATTCAAACCTCGCTAATTGATACCTGGACAACGTATCAGTCTTCGGTCATTAGAGACATCAAAGAAACCATACGGCAGGGCGAGCTTGAAGCAGCCGATGATGAAAAAGGATCACAAATTCAAGAGCAATTGGAATACAAGCGTTTGAGAATGGTTCGTTCTGCTGCAGAATCCATGACTAGTATCTTGGAAAGCATGGAAAATCCTTCTCCCCACCACTACGTTGCCATCCTGAAGGCATGGGCCAATACTTGCAAGATCGCTCGTACGATAGGAAAATCGAAAGCCGCCGATGTCGTTGGGATCCCCCAGCGAGCTCAACTGATATTGAACGCCATGGGAGGATCAAACGAGAATGATGACATGATATCCGTTGAGGCGTATAACGAAGTCATCAAGGCCTGGGCGTACAGCTCGGAATACCTGCGGGGATCAATGGCCGAACATGTCTTTAGGAGAATAAAGTTTCCCACAGGAGAGAGCCTGCGAATGATAATGCGGGCGCATGCGTGGAGCAAAGAATCTCGATCCGCCTTTCAAGCTACAGGTCATTTTATGCGAATGATGCGCCTGTTGGAGGCAGGCCGAGCCGACATGGAACCATCTTCCATCAACGATTATCATATCCTGTGTGATGCTTGGACTGTTGCAGGAGACAGGAATAGTGCCTCTAAGGTGTATAGCGTCTTGCAAATAATGAACAACGCTTATCAAAGGGGGCATACCGAAATTTGCCCTGATTTACAGTGTTATCGTGATGCACTTATTACGATGTCCCGTCGACAAAATGTAGACGATGTTGGCGAAGTTGTTGATAAAACCCTCAGAGATATGAGAGAACAGATGATTTTTCCAGACACGTTATGCTATCGCTCGGCAATTTTGGCATGGAAGCACATTGCCATGTCCCAAGATTGTCTCCATCCCGAGCAGGCTATTCAGAGAACCCAAGAGCTATTGCAGGAAATGACCGAAGCTTATCACCGCACCACGCAGATTCTGATCCAGCCAACCACGGAGGATTACAATAACGTATTGCATGCAATGGCACTCTCGAAGAGTCAAAAGATAGTTGAAGATGCGCAAGAGTTATTTGCGACATTAAAAGAAGATGCTTCTCTTACGGGAGGACCAGATCCACAATCATACCGGTATATGCTGGGAATCTGGCGCAACAGTCGTTCTCCCAACAAGGTGGCCCATGCTTCGCAGCTTTTGCAAGAAGTCAAAGATCACTATAAAAATAATAATACCTGGAGAGACTCAAACTTTTCAAAAAAATCTACCATGGATGCTTTTTCAGCATTTATCCGGGTGTGCGGGACCTCCGCAAATGCCTCAAGGAAAGCCACCAAAGCCACTCAACCGGAGCGTACAAGAATAATGACTGTGGCTCTTCGAAGCCTGAAAGATGCAAAGGAGCTTGACCTGACGCCTAATTCGGATACCTATATGGCACTGGTGGAAGCATGTGATCATTTGCTGCCAGTAAGTGGGCCAGAGCGCGAAARTGTTTTGGAGAACATCTTCCGTCGAGCCTGTGAGGAGGGAGTTGTGAATCAAAATCTTCTAGAATTCTTCAAATCTGTCGCGTCTACACATCTGTACGCTAGAGTAGTCGTGTCGGAGAGCAWAGTGGCAGAAGACATCAAGATAGTACCAGAGGCGTGGACGAAAAATATTGAAGGTTTTCGAGAGGGCAAGAAAGTCATGCCGCTTAGTATTCATGGGAATTTTACCTTCACAAAGGCGGCTGCCGAGTACAGAATGCGGAAGCTACGGCGACGAACAAATCAAAAAATGCTGAGAGGCGGAAGGTGGAAATAAGCAGATTTAAACCTCTGTATTTATCGTGTGGACTAAAATAAAAAAACCCGAACTTGACCATCAAATATTCAATCAATCTCCGTCAAATAGCAATTCGTCTTCTACTCTCTAAATGCATCCGTAAAAATGGACATGATAAATGATCTTCCAATACTCGTATCATTTCTTTCCAAACTCCAGATTTCGCTTTCCCCATCACGTCCCCTTCTTGGGCAAAGCTGATTGAAATCCCGCATTGCTGTTGAACCATTTGTCGTTCGCAGCCTTCACGCGCTCCTTTTGTGCCTCGGGATTGATCAACTCCATACCGGTCGTTTGAGTGAACACTACACTGCTGGCCAAGCCATCCTTGTTTTTGGCCTGTTGAGCCATTTGCATGGCTCGTTTTCGCGAAGCCTTTGTATTTGCCTGCCGCATCTTGCGTTTCTCGGTGRCCTTGCGAATTGCTCCGCCATTGTCGGCTGTGTCTAGTAGTCCCATGGTGATTCCCATGGCATCATCTCCGTACTCCCCTTGTTGGGTACTAAACGCTCTGGTATTTGCCTGCTTCATCATCGCTGTCTCTTCGAATCGCTCTTTCATTCGACGCATTCGACGACCTCCTCGGCGTTTCTTCGCTTCTAAATTGGGTTTCGGTAAAGCCTTCGCGACGGGGGCTCTGTCGGGCTCTTGCCATTTTTCGAATTTTTCTTCTAGTTGTTTCCTGTAGCTGATTCCGGCGGAAGCACTCCGTTGTCGACCGGAATCGACGTTGGAGAAGTCAAACCGTGCCACCAAAGCCAATTTTGCCGCGACTACCTTCAGTGCCTTTTTCTTATACGCCTTGGCAAGCGATTGGATCAAGTCACAATCTGCTAGCAACCCGGTATGTTGTCTGATAGAACCGCCCGACAAGCCCGCTCTCGACTCGGAATTGACCTTGGTCTGCCCCAGAACCTGCAGATTGCAACTAGGTATCTAGCCAAAAGTAGGACAAAAAGTCTTTGAGTCAAACATCAATGATGATACAGAACACCCAGGTCATTCTTTCCTTTCGCCGTGAAAGCTTACCTTTGTCAGCTCTTGGAGACCTCCCGACAATCCCAAGAGTCTCGCAGCTGTGGGTGCCCCAATGAGGGCACAAATACTTGGACAGAGACTTTCCATGGAATCCTCCACAAATTTCATCAAATCTTTCTGTACCAACAGCAATTCTTCCGTGTAGGTTGCCGCTGCATCGACTTCTTCGAGCTCTTTTTCGGTCAGTACGCGTCCCGACGTTGTGCTACTGGCCATCGATAACGTAATGATCTGATTGCTGCTTAAAATTTCATTGAGTTCATCGTTGACCTTAGTCAGGTCCGTCTCGTTGCCGATGATGCGAATGGCATTTTTGTAGTCCAAAGGGTTGGGAAGGAGATCTTCTAACTCGGGAAATTTCGGTCGGTATGTATCGGCCAATTTCGAATGGGCGCGTTGCATTTCTTCTGCCAGGCTAGCAAGGTACTTGTTCGACTGGACCACCATTTGGTGATTCTCTTCTTCTTCTTCTTTTCGTCTCCGAACGGCACCGACAGACGAATTCGTGTTACTGTTATCATTAACAGTGCTGTTTCCGTCGTTTTGTTCTCGTATGATCTTCAAATGATTCTTGAGAGATCGGTTGTCGAGAAACTGGGACTGAGCTCTTTTTCTTGTTCTTGTTTTTTCCGATTCTATCATCGAGGATGATTTGAATGGGGAAGGTGGAATCATTCCATCCATGCTTTCGCCCACATTGTTGGCATCTTTTGATGCGTCTACTTCTTCGCTTTCGGCTACTTCATTTTGATCTTCGTCGTCTGAGTCCATCAAATCGTCGAGATCGCCCAAGAGGGCATCAGCAAGCGTTGTCGTCCCCTCCATTTTAAAATCAGCCCACAAAAATTTCGACTCCCAAAAATGGAATGACGGCGGTGATTAACGAAGCGCTGTTGATGTAGCTTTCATCGAGAAGTACTGGTACTCTATTGTTGCGAAATCAAAGAAGGCGGGTTTCAACGGTGAAAAACAAWTGCCACATTTGTAGTACGTACCGTTATCAACGTACTGTAATAAGTTAGTACGTCGTACTTTAGCAACTTCATTTTTGAAGTTGCTCTCTTCATCTTCTCATCGTCTATCAAATATTTTCTCACCGTCCAATCCAGTGAGGAGGTACGAAACAACAACAAGCTGTTGACATACCAGTCTCCTAAGCCTGGAAAAGCAATCATATACCATCAGCAATCCTGTAGACAGGAAACCAGGATTGCATGATGRCTGCATCATCAGATTATGAGGAGTACCATGGCCGAATGACATTTGGGAAGGATTTCTATAGAATCTTTGCCACTCATCATGGTGAGCCAAGAAGAAGCAGAAGAGAAGGATAATGGCAGCAGCATGAGGATCACTGCTACTTCTACTAGCAGTAGTTGCACCAGCAGTGCAAGAATAACAGATCTCTAGCAAACAATTACCAACGGCAGTAAGGAAATGCTTGTAGCTGCAAGTATTTGTTCTATCCAAAATGTGTAACACTTTCAGAGTGCCGCAAGGTTGACATAACTACTATGGCATCACATCCATAGTAGTTGTTATGTTGAAAAAAGGAATTTKTCATTTTGTTCATGACTTTGATAACAATAAAAAAGTTATACTAGTAGTACCACTTATCATTCTTAGTTCTAGGCTCTATTCTTGTTCAATACGACCTGTTATTGTAGTAAAACAGGAGATCGATTGCGAACAAGAAAGTATTTTTTACGTCTGTTTCAACGGCGATTAGATCCAACAACTGAAGTTTGGAGATAGAAGCCTTCCAAAAGCCAATGGTGATGAAAAGAATCCAATCATCTTCCTTGCTTGTATTCTTCATATCGCTGTCATTGCTATTAAGAGGTAGCAGGTACAAGTAATTACATCACTTGAGATGCGAAATAATGGCACCGCAGGACACTTTGAACTCGACCCACGAGACAAATCATCATACATGGCAATTTCAATAGATGGCTTCTTTCACTTTTGGAAACCCTAGTACTGCTGAGACTTCCAAAGAACGACCAAGAACTAGAGGGTAGTTTATTGATTCAAGCATCCAGTAGCGATCTTTTCCACGTGAATGTCGCTTTTCATCGATGCTCTAGCAATAGGTCCATCCCGCTGTCCTTTTGTTGGCGGTGCGATATTGCGCTTGATCCTCCGATGAGGTTTCGTTGCTCGTAGCTATTCGCGGAGCTCCCCCCGGAAACGGTAGACCTGGGAGATTCCGTGTTCCCGAGCCCAACTACTCCGTTCCCGGCGTTCCCGGCCAGGCGGGCCAGGCGTCGCTGCCTCTGCCGTTCCATTGCTCGTTTCGCTCTGTAATAATTTCCTATACAGAGYACACTCACGAATCCCACAAAGAAACAGACAAAGACGACGGCAATGAGGACCTCTGTCAGCGACCGGTCCCTCGATTTGTACGTCATTTCTACGAAAACAACGATAACGCAATCGATAGTTTTGTTCTCGCAATCGTCGTTTCTTGTTTGGAGCAAGGACTGAAACTGTGCTTTAACGAAGCTTTGGTGGGATCTAATTGGGATTATACCGTTTCAAGATATGCCTTCACAGAACGTTGTCGCTTATCGTACCGATACCGTTGTGTAGCCCTCTTGTCATGGTCAACAATGCCTATGCCTCAAGCTTTCTCAATGAACCATTATGTACCGCACTTGGTTGTCGTCAGGTGACGAGTGCTTGTTGATGATWGGTACGTAATAGTACCGTACCTTACTGAAAGCGTGATGAGGCCAATGCTAATTAGTTAAGTCGCGCCATTTTTCAACAAGGCTTATTTTTCCGTTCGAGCGCACTCGCTAAAACTCAAAATTTAGATTCCAATTGCGTCTATTTCAGTACTGTTGTCCCATATCTTCTACTGTACTGTTCTGTACTTTAAGGTTAAAGAGTGATTGGATGTGGTATGATTTCTGTGACTGGGGTCTTTCACCAGGGATTTGAACAAGGGGGGATGGAGCATCATGAATTGTTAGTACTAGTAGTAATGAATTATTGGGCACCCAGCTACTAAAATTAGTAGGAGCCCTGCTTGTTATCACACTGCAGCACAAAAACAATAGAACTAGTATAAAATTACTTGGTACTGCTGTGGTACTWTAGGGCTCAGTAACACTCTCCTAGAATAATGGTTTCAAGCCTTCTCTTGTTCAACCATTTGTGTTGAATAGTTGCAACTCGTACAATAATAGAAAAAGAATCCAAATTCAGACTTGAACTAACATTCACCACACACACCACAGTGTGATTATTATGTATATTGCTGTGGAGGAATTTCAACCACTACTTTTACTGTCTGGAGTTTTCTTGTGTCGTAATGAAAAAATAGGTCGGTCGAATAAATAATGCTATCTTGCAAGTAATTTACATATTGATTTAAGCCATGACATCGGCTGATTCAAAATTGATGATTCGTCCAAAACTAGTGGCATCCAGAGATGCACCTCCTACAAGACCGCCATCAATATCTGGCTGTKCAAGAAGACCATCGACAGAGTCAGGACTGACACTTCCCCCATACAAAATTCTCGTAGATTCAGCGACGTCCGAACCGTACATTTTGTCAAGGATTTGACGAATTGATTTGTGAACGCTCTGGGCGATTTCGGGGGTGGCAACCTTGCCAGTTCCGATGGCCCATACTGGCTCATACGCAATGGTGACAGCGGACATTTGGTCGGCGCTGATGCCTTCCAAACCCTTTTTCAATTGCACCTCGCAGACGGCATCGACGAGGGACTTTTCGAATTCTTCGAGCGTCTCGCCGATGCACAAAACAACATTCATGTCATTTTCTACCAATAATTTACACTGTGCGTTGATGTACTCGTCCGATTCCCCGTTGAGAACTCTTCGCTCCGAGTGTCCCGCCAGGGCCCATTCGGTTCCGATGCTCTTCAACATGGCGGGGCTGACTCCACCTGTGAAGGCTCCCTTCATCTCGGGAGTGACCATCTCTGCACCGACAATGAGCTTGTCCCCTACAATATCCTGCACAGTTTCGAGAAACGGAAACGGAACGAAAAGACCAACATCGGCAGGGGAGTCCTCTGTGATCGAATCAGCGATACCGCGAGCAAGGTCTACCGCTTCCGCCTATGGATCAACAAAACATGATACAGTTTAAACAGATCAGATGAGCGGGAAATGAAAAAGCTAGATGCCCTAAAGGGAAAAATAGACTAACAAAGGCTCGATTTGTCGAAGGTCAAATACCAGAAATAGAACAACTCGAAGCGTACCTTCGTCTGTGGATTCAGCTTCCAGTTTCCGGTGATAAATGGCTTTCTGGCGTCCAACGCGGTCACGGGAGGGCTGGAAAATTGATTGTTGACGAAGGCATTCGTCGAGCCGCCGAGCGACAGAACAGTGAGTGCAGTGGAGAACTTCATGGTCAGAGTGGGTTGTTGGCGCAAGGATTCTAGTGGAACTAAGCAAACTGTTAACAACAAGCGGTGGGTGCGTAACAAAAGTCGTGACGGCAATTATTTCTTCTCCTCGAACGGTTGGTATTCGCATTTACTTGAAAAACAACGTACCGTCCTGTACAGGTACGTACTACGGTTCGTACGGTATGCCGATCCAAATACGGCAATTTTTTACAGAACAAAAAACGCGAACTACGGTATCCTCTCCTGCCATCATGATGATTCTACCTCGTGGTATTGGCGATTTTTGTGCTTACGGTGGAGCAGTCGTACGTCACAATTTTTGCTACAGTATTTCGGACCCCTACGACTAAGGTACGTAGCGTAGGGTAAGCAGAAAACTTTCCTTACGGTAGGTACGGTATTAGCGCTATGGAATTATCATTCGATGTCTGACTCAACACTGCACGACTGAGAACAATCAACGGATCATACCGGCCGGTAGATCACATTCATATGATCATACTCTGGGAAATATGATTGGTATTGTACAGGTGGACAGACCAATTTGTGGAATTTTCATCGCAACATCTCACAGCCACCAAAATTTTATTATTTCGTGAACTCTCGCTCAGAAAGATTACTCTGTAAWWAATACTTGTACCACTACCTCCGTACCAGTATTCCRACAGCTAATATTCCCTACGTGCACTACAGAAGAACTGAACCATGCCGTCGGCATCGAAGCTTCCTTTCCGCGATAAGTCTTCTACTGAGAAAAGTCAACTATTTTCGTTTTTCAATATTCGATAGGAACGCAAACTCTACGGAATTTTTAGTTGGGTTACCCACATTAAACAAAGAAAAGAGTGATTTATCCGCAATGGTGAAAAAGAAGGGAAAGTCAAAGAGAACCACTCTCAAGGACAAATATAAGATCCAAAGGCGAGTTGCCGAAACCCATCGCAAACGCAAGAAGCAGGCCAAGCGAGACGAAAAAAATGGGGTTGTTCGTCCGAACAAACAAAAACGCGACCCTGGCATTCCGAACTCGTGGCCTTTTAAACAAGATCTACTGAAGGACATTGCGAGAGCACGCGAACGGCAACAGGAGCAACAGCAGGCCATGAAGGACAAACGCAAGGGAGASTTGCGGGCCTTGCGGGACCACCAAGACCAAGGCGGGCCCTGCCGAACGGTGCAGGAGCTGATGGCCAGAGCCAATGAAGACCGACAAGCTTTTGCGGCCAAACAGGGAGGAGGGTCTATTGCCGGTGCAACCGCAGCAGAAAAGAGCGATGGCCGGGTTGCCGCGGGACAACAGTCACGCCGTGCGTACTTGCGCGAATTGAAAAAGGTTGTCGAATCCGCCGATGTCTTGCTGCAGGTATTAGATGCTCGCGATCCCATTGGATCTCGGATCCACAAAACTCTCGAGGACGTCATTTTATCGAAAGCAGACAAGCGAATGGTTTTGGTTCTGAACAAAATCGATTTGGTTCCCAAAGAAGTTGTGGGACAATGGCTTAAYGTATTGAGGCGGTCCCATCCAACCATTGCCATCAAGGCATGCAAGAATATATCCGAAAGCGACGAGAAAGATGCCGCAACATCATCGGTACCRGTCGGCATGGATGGATTATTGCAATTACTGAAGAACTACGCGAGAACGGGCGCTGGTGGGGGGAAATCAAAGACAACGATTGTCGTAGGTATTGTCGGGTATCCGAATGTTGGAAAGTCATCAATTATCAATGCCTTGAAGCGATCAAGAGCAGTCGGTGTCAGTCCTCGCCCCGGGTTCACGACAACCATGCAAGAGGTTGTTTTGGATCGAAATGTCCGTCTCTTGGACAGTCCAGGCGTGGTCTTCGACGACAAAACAGCCTTGCTTGGAAATTGTGTCGATGCCGACTCAATTGACGACCCAATTCCACCAGTCGATGCACTTCTCCAGCGTTGCAAACCCGAGAGTCTGATGATGACTTACAACATTCCGGCGTTTCCAAGGGGCAACACAATGATATTTCTGGCTATGGTTGCCAAAACCTATGGAAGGGTTTTGAAAGGTGGCATTCCCGACAAAATCGGTGCGGCACGATCCGTATTGAAAGACTGGAACCAGGGAAAGATTCCGTACTATACCCTTCCACCGAAAGATGCCGCACCAGATGTTGCCAAGGGAGGTGCCGTCATTGTTTCAAGCTTTGGTGCCGAATTCGATATATCCGCCTTCGATGATCAAGTACTGAGCAGTTTGAAGGAAAGCGACGAAATGGACTTCGTTGAGCTCATCAACAAAGACCAGGAAGAAACCGAACGCTCGAAGGAACTCGCTAACTATCTCACGAACGGGGACGAGGACGACAACGACGACATGGAAGAAGACAGCGACGACGACATGAAGGATGAGAGTGATTTCAGGTCCAAAGTAGCCCAAGCCGATGATTTTGATTTCAATGCAATGTAGAGAAATGCTTTATTTTAAAGTTAACATGTCACATCTACACATTTCTCACAATAAAAGAAATGGAGCGTACTATTGTAATGCATGTTTGATGCTCAAAGTACTGTCAAATCAGCACCGGCCACGTGTAATCCTCCTCGTACGCTACTCCTGATTGGAAGTCACAATATACTTTCATTGCTTGGCGATACAAACGAAGCTCTCGCTCATACACTTCGCTTCCCACCTCATGTTTCGATTCCCAGGCATTAACAACACATTTTCCGTCATTGTACGTTTCCAAAACGTTCTTGCTGGCCTTTTTCTTCTTCTTGTTGTGTTGTAACTTCGGGTTGATGAACTTTTCGACCTCCTCTTGTGTGATGCGCCTAGCTGGTGCAGGGACACCACATTTTGTGTTCAATTCGTCTGAAATACGTTGGACTTCTGTCAATGGATCTGCTAAGATAGCATCGTTGCTAGATCTTACTATGCACAACCCTCTCGAGTTCTGAATAGCTCTCATGTTATAGATAATCCATAACCGCAACCCAGTGTCCACCGCTATGGAGTTGTCTCTCTTGTTGATGGACATCGCAACCTCGACCGGATGCCTATACGTGAACATTACAGCAGGCTCGTTGTTCATGAGTTTCAACCACGTTTTGAGCGTGATGCACATGCGTGGATCTTTTTGCAGCCATGGTGCGTTCCCAGGGTCGTTCAGGAACGCCAAACCACGGGCACCCTCTTTGAATGTAATGCTTCCGTTTTCCTTGTCTTCTAGCGCTTTCTCCCAGTCGTAATGGGCTACGTTTGCGTCCCACCAAATATTTTGGTTGTTCATGAATTCGTCGTTTTGCAAAACGACGTCGATGCGTTCGAAAAAGCCCATTTCATTGTCGGCCGCACTTCCAATGAGAGGGCCACCCACCGTGTACCCAGCCGACCTGTGCAGCAATCCGGCCAGCATAGAGGTCCCACTTCTGTGCATTCCCAACACAACGAACCCGTTGCGATGCGTTCCAGCTACGACCGCACTGTTCTCGGCATTTTTGTTCTTCGATGCGGTGTCTCGTGCCGATTCTCTCTGTTTTTCTGATTGTCTTTCTTTCACAATCGATTCGTACTTTTTCACGGCTTGGTCCAACAAGTTCGCATCGGTAACACCCCGTCCCTGTCGAAATTTAGCCAGGTTTTTCCGCAGCTTGGAGGTGACTTCTCCGATCTTGTCCTTGACGGGAACACTGGCGATCTCCTTCAGAGAGGGTGGCATATGCATGTGGTGAATGTAATCCCGAGGGGTTTCGTCGGGCATTTCCGTGGGCGTGGATGCCTGAAGAAGCGGCCAAAGGATCAGCAGCACGATCATATAGCACAGGGCAAAAAGGCCCATGCACACGGTGGAAGTGAAACCAAAGACGAGGTAATTGGCAAATCGCTGCTCATGTCGTTGCTGTTTGTTGCGCCGCTTCCTTCTTGCCTTGCTGGAAGAAATAACGCTATCGTTGTCACCTCCCATTGTAGAGTCCGTTCCCAGGCACAGTTCTTCGTATTGTTTGTCGATTAGAAGTATCTAGAGTAAATTGAAGACTTGTGTTAACACATGGAAATACGAACCCATGGGCACTGCGGCACTGCAGGGGTCATAATTTAGAGGGGCGCGAGACACGCTTTATTTTCGAAGCTTCACAAGAAAAACTCACATTTCCATACTCTTACTCGAACTACCGGTACGAMCTTACTACGAGTGAAATAATAATTGAACTTTCTTTAAATAAAGGGTTGGGAACGTTAATTTAACATTCGGAATCTTAGTAATATAATATCCCACCAGTATGCCTATGATGTAGATCCTGGTATTATCCACATTCTTCATTTGGTAGTGCACTAGCATGCAAAAACCAATAATTTTGGTCTTATTTCCTAAAAAAGAGGAAGAATAGGATGCCTACCCTGCTAACATTCAGAATGTTAGGTAGAGCATTCAGAATGATAATTACTAAGGCATGAAAAACCTGCAGTYGTACTAGTGTCATTTCTACACAGGCCTACTACAATGCTAATATTCAGAATGTTACTGCTACCACCAAAGCACCAATCAGAACTAGAGAATCTGTTGGTTGGAAAGTTCTTTCTTTCATTTTACTCCTGTACATGTCTATATTGCTGGATTTTTGCCATAAAACCATTTCAGGCTTCTTGATTTCTCTCAGCACCAAAAATTAGAAAAAACTGTCATTTAATCAACCTCTTCAGTTCTCCATCAATACTCAACTGGCTCTATACTTTACATTATGGGGTGAAGGATTGGTAAGTTGTGTATCAATCAACCAAGTGCTTTAGAACAAGAAGCAATAGTTGTATTTAACTAGCATCAAAAACTAGTACTACTAACCAAAAAATACAAAGAAAGGAGCTCAATTGCATCCTTCAAAACACCATATTCCCCTCMAGCACTAAGGTATTACTAACCTCCTGTTTGCCAAATTGCTTTATTATACCAATTTTGCCACAATCGGAAGTTGGGGATCAATTGCCAAGTACTTTGAAAGAAGAAGAAGAAGAAGAAGAAGAAGAAGAAAAAGAAAAAGAAAAAGAACAACAATGACAACAAAGAAGAAGAAGCAGGCAGCAGCAACGGAGACAGTTGAGGATGGATCTAACCAAAATGGATGCACAATTTTCAATGTGTGAAAGAACAACACTAGCTGCTGAGTACTTGTTGTTTTGTTCAAGGTCCAGGGGCCTGCAGTGTTCCATGAAGAGATCAATGTTAGAATCTTAATATTATGATTAACCTTGTGAACTAGAAGAGGCACTGCTATGTGCTGAACCAGAACCATTACTTTGTCTGACTAGGGATAAGAATGCAACTAGCCGCTCTGAGGGGCGGTACTTCACTCCAAGAAGTCTTTCTAAAAGAGCAACAATCAAGGGTGACAGTGAGGGGGAGGAGATATGAGGAGTACTAGGAACAAACAAGAGGAAGAAGAGGATAGTACTAAGAAACAAAGAAGAAGAGGAACAACAGCCCACAATCAGCAAAGAACTTGAATCGGAACTTCGGAATTCTCGTGAACGCGCTTGGTAATCTTCGAATAATTCTAATCTTATAATTTGAATTTTCATACATACTTAAGAGTACACGTAATCTCGTGCAGAACTCTTTTAAAATGCAACGGTAGCCACAGCAAAACTATTTCTACTACTACTAGACTATTAGTACTAGTACTAGTACTAGTACTAGCACTAGTAGTAGTAGTAGTAGTAGTAGTAGTAGTAGTTGTAGTAGTAGTAGTAGTAGTAGTAGTAGTTGGATCAATACTACCAAACGGGTGTTAGCATGTTCTTGTGTCTTGTGTGCTTGTTTACATGGCTAGTGGCTAGTGGCAACCGAATGCCTTCTTGATTCAAAGATTTCTCTAAATAAATAATTGCACCWAAAACATTGAAGTAGAAGGGGGACATGCACTTTGGGGGTGCAACCCGTATTTCTTTCACCACAAACCCCTTCTGCCTCAGGGCCCTGGGTTTTTGGGAATGAAGCAAAACAGAATTTTGAGACATGGACGCAAAATGAAAACGTTCASTTAACAGGAAAGTACGAGTGGTGTCGAATGGACAGAGTGCGACCCACGGCAAGACAAGACAAGATATCAGGCCCAGCAACAAGGATGRCCACYAATAACCCCATATCGATTTCTCTGTCGTCGTCCCGAGGCTGGAAAAAGGCCGAACGCGTCACGAAGGACGTCGCACCCACGAAGATCCGTTCGGCAAAGGCCGTCGGCACCACGAGACAGAACGACGAGTGCTCCGGCAGTGGTTCCGATTCGGATTCGGATTCCGGCCCATCCCTGCCGCGTTCCCACCAATCGACGAACTCGAGGCAAAACCGATCGGAGAGCCTCGTCGGCCACTGCTCGGTCTGTGGGGAAAACGAGGCCCGCTATACGTGCCCACGGTGCAGCATTCCGTATTGTTCCGCCGAATGYTACCGCAGCCACACGAGCGGCGAAACCGGCACCGCCCACTCCTGCACCGAGCGTTTTTTTCGGGAAAAAGTCGCCTCGCTGATGAAACTCGAATCCCTGGAGCRCARGGGGGAGACGCACCGGGCGCTGAACCGATACCACCACGATTGCCACTACCAAACCAATCCGCTCGAGGAAGAACCGGTGCACAAATCGCCCGGGGGGCGGCAGCACGCCGGCGACGAGGATCTGTACGACCTGCACCGGCTGCACTCCGAGCTCGAGGCGCTGGAAAACGACGGGGAAGAACTCTCGCGGAGGGAGCTCGCGCGCATTTTGCCCCCCGCCCTGAGGGCCGTGTTCGAAAACGATCTGCGAAGCGGCCGGGTGCGGGCCGAYATGGTGCTGGATCGGTGGCACCCCTGGTGGCGGCGCGACTTTGTGGACGGTTCGAACGAAACCGGAGCCGACCAGAGCGATGGCCGGCGGGGAGCGGGGATCGACGACAGGGAGGACGGTGCCGTTGCTTGCAGCAGAACCCTGGACGAGCGGCTCCTACGTGTGCCCGGGTTTGCGGGTTTTGGAAGGAAAGACAACCACAAAAGCAACAACGACGTGCTGTTTTTCAACCTCTTGGACATACTCTGTGCAACCTGTCGAACGCTTCGAATGTACCATGGGGTGGAAAACGCATCCCAACAGGCCCCCGTGGAAGCCGCCACGACCTTGATCGCAGCGTCGTCGGTCCTGGCCAACGACACTCGTTTCGCCGCACTGTCTCAAGTATTGGATCATCACTACTATTGCACCATGGGGCCCGGACATGGAACCATTGCGAAGATGGATCCCAAGGRGGAAATAATCGAACCTGGTGAATCTACTTCGAACAAACAGCCCAACACTGCCGGTTGGTATGTTTGCATGGAAGACACTGCCTCGCTTGTAACATCACCGCGTTTGGTAGGAAGAGCAATACTGGAAGCATGTGACGTATTGAAGGCAGCCGCCAAAGAGCTGAAAACGAACAGGGTCAGCACCAAGGTTCYGAACAACAGTACTAGCACCAATGYCACCMCGAGCGCGTCGAAGGAGGCGAACGAGAGWTACGACAACGAGACTAAGCTCTACCAGATCCGTCGTCTCCGAAAGAAGCTCCAGTTCTACCTATCTTGGGCGTTGCATCGCCCGAGCGCCGCGAACAGCTACCTAGGAGTTCATGCGAAAGAAGAAATCGTGGCTTGGATCAACGAGAGGAAACAAATGATCACCGAATACGAATGTGGCGAGTGGAACACCAATGACAACAACATCGAACATTGCGGTGGTGTTGGTGACACTACCATCACAACTTTGAATTTTCCTGCCTCTGCAGCATCTGGTACAACTCGTTCTATGTTTCAACTCAACTCGCTACATAATGGCGACAAGGAACACTCCTCGCCTGCCGAATCCATCACGGATCAACCGTTCATGATCGAAGTGCAGAGCCGGCGGAGACAATAACGAAAACCACAAAAAGGGACACACTCTGTCAACACGAAACGCTCAATATTATTTCTTAATTAGCTGTGCGGTATGGATCCGGCGCGATTTTTGTCCTCTATTCGTCGTTGCGAATTCGCATATTTTCTTTATGTTCATAGCGAGGCTCCATCGCCAGTTGAGTGTGCTTTCGTGTCGATGCATGCGCGGTAGCTTTCCGTACTTCTTTTCAACTCCGTTCCAATCAAATCAGTGGGCGACGTTTAACAAGTTCGTAGTTGCATGTCATACATCACAGAAAAACTTAGTTTGCAAAACCTTTCGCCCTCGTTAGGTTGCTTATGGAAAATCAGGAAAGACCTTAAAATGCAGAAACTTGATTCCGATGTACGCCGTTACCCATAAAATTAGTGATTTCCCCACGAACAAATCAATCGCGTCCAACACCTCCCGCAAGAAGCCGATCGATTGACCGACAAACTTGACACCTCCACTCGCGATTACCACGGGCAACTCTGCGCTATTGACACTGTTGAAATCCACCGAGTAGTCAAAATCGGATTTCTTCGCGTCGCCTTCCCCATCGTCCTTGGGGCCGATCACCCGCGTCTTGAACGGACCCAAACCAACGTCGAGAATGACGGGTTTTCCACGAGCTCGATCGAAAAAGAAACCACCAAAGAGCCGGAGGGGGCCACCCACAAAAAAGTCGGCGTAGGTGAATATGACGGTAAGTAGCTTGGTCGATCCAACCAAAATGAAGGTTGTCGCCAGGGCAAAGACGGTTCCCGCCAGAAACGTTTCGACCGTTTCGTGCAGGGGCAGCACCCACGACAGCCCGTTTTGGGAAATGAAAGGGCCGACGGCTTCGTTGAAGAAGGACTCCACAACACAGAGTTCCAGGCGCACACGGAGGAGACCACTGGCAATCAGCGGGCCGTATTCGACAAAGTTTTCCCTTCCAACCACGGTTTGTGCCGTAGATTGCAACACACGATAAAAGCCATCGGAAGCCGCACAGACGGGCACGAACGAATTGGGATCAAAGCTTTGGGTCAGCTCCTTTGGCATCGCAATCGAAGAAACTGCATTTGCAGCCTCGGACAGGGCGGCGAGGCCCATGATGGTCGTGGATGTGGCAGCAACCACGACGCTCAACGCTTCGCTGTTGTCGTTCTCGGTTGACACCGATGTACGAATCGAATCGTATTCGTATTCGTCCCCGTCTTCTGTGAGACATTCGTCGGGACAAACCAGGGTCTGTGTCTTTTTCGATGCCATAGCTAACGGAAAAGAAGCAAGTTGTTTCTGTGGCAGTCCCATCCTAGCCCCCACCGAAGATCTCTTAACCGGTGTGACAAAAGCCGATGCCCAAGGCTTGGTTGTTGTCGAGAGMGACAGGGCTAGCAGACCTGATGCCACTCCAAGCAGTCGAAAGGATCGCAGAGCCATTGTCGTTTCTTTTGCGYAATCCAATAATGGATTTGATAACCTATTCAGTGTTGGCGCGGACTACGTACCACCGAATGCAATCTTTGATTGATAGTGGGGTAAGAGCTGATGTGTCGCATTGGTATGGTACTCGTTTCTGGTTCCCGAATGGAAGAGAACGGTGCTGTCCTCGTACTCCAGCATGCCATTATTGTCGTAGAGGAATAAGAGTACGTACGTACTGTACGTACCGTTTGCACCGTACGAGAGCCATGATTGTGATCTTTGTTACTTGACGTTTTCTGACACGCGATCTTTGTTCTTCACTTTTTAGCTTCAACTCTAATCAAAATAAAATATGCCCCTAMAGGTGTGGTACCGTACGGAACCTGGGGCCTTCGGAACCCACACGCGCATCCCCAAATAAAATCCATGATTCGGGGGCAAAAATTGGTTGGTTACTATTGTTCACATAAAATGACCCATGCTGTTGACAATAATAATGACACATTTTTTCATAGCTTAAAAATCACCCACTATTGGGATTGTGGGCGGGTTGACCCACAAACAATGAATCATGAAGTTGTTGGGCCTGTCTCAAACCCAAAAGAGGAACTACAAGAAGAAGAACACCTGAACAACAAAGCTACTACTAGTAGTAAAATGGTCAAAGAAGAACCACAAGCATGACCCCTCCCAATCATGATACTACTACTACTGCTACTACTAATTAGTACTAGGAGCATTAGATTACTAGTAGTAGTACCTACTGGAATCTACTACTAGTAGGAGCTTTGGATACTTAGTTCTGTGTTCGCATGTTTGGTTTCACTGCTGTTCCTCTGCTACTACTAGTACTACTAGTAGTCTAGAAAGAAGGGGATAGTACTAGTAGACCTCAGTGGTTATTTACTACTACTACTGCTAGTAGTACGCTAGTACTAGTACTAGTACTAGTAGTAGGTTTCACTTACTATGAGGTTAAGGTTGCACCAGAGTGTTGCTACTATGAGACAATCAATCGTATGATCATACCATACAGTATTACAAGTACAAGGAAAAACCTGCTGAATTGATCAGGCTGGAAACCATGCTGCAAATGCTAACAAAAAGCATGGAGTGATGAATTCAGCCTCCACGCCATCCATTCAGCCCAATTTTGATGCTTTTCAGAGTTTTTGTCTGGCATTTCTGAGCTCCAATGTTGGAGTAGTTCCGAGCTCTTTGCAGAGCTCAAAACCACCAGCACAAGCAAAATACTAGTTGCAAAAAACTAGACAAGATGGGATCTGGCTCCCTAATATGCAGACACTCTGACACCAGAGTGTGAAATTGAATCAAGGGGCTGGTTGAACTTCAATCTGGCATCATGAGTGCCCTTCAGGCATCTGTTTGCAGCTCTAGCCAGTGTAAATCCAATTCTAGATCTGACTACTAGTAGGCCACAAACTTGAGAGTAGTTTCTTCCCCACCACTTGGAAGCAAGCCTGGAGGCAAGCTGCTTTCAAGCTGTAACTGCCTCTGGGCCTTCCATCCCGTTAATGGAGTAGACAAGAGATGTAAAGTGACAGTGAGCCTGGTGGCATGCATCATGATACTTTTCCTTCTTGTCTTGCTCCTGAGACTGGAGCCAGCACTGTGGATCTTTCTTTTTGTAGGAAGAAAAATCAGTGTCAGTAACTCTGATATCAAAGACTGTAGTTGTTCCCTACTTCCAGAAACCATACACAGCAAGATTGCCTCTGAAATTGCATGATGGCAGTGGGGAGTTCCTCCAGCACTGGCCTTGAGCTGGTGGTGACTGATATGTTGACATGCAAGGTTCATTGGTAAAACTACTGGGCATCAAGGCTTTGGCACAGAGCTTCTGGTGTCATTCTCCTGGTGCAATGTTGTTGTAGTTTTACAGGAGGTTGTCTTGAAATTCTTTGGCTGACAAGAAGGTGCCATTCAGGTTGTGAGGCATTGTGGTCAGCCAGACACCTGTTGCCTGGGATTCTTTGATGGGACAGCATTATTTGTAGAAGCAGGTCAGAATAAAAATGCSCAGCACAGCTTGGAGCAATTGCAGAAGTTGTTACCAGTGTTCCTACTACAAATGTTGATGAACATTGTTGCAATAATTTTGCACATCCAGCTCCTCAGAATTTTGAAGAAAGATGATCAAATCCCCAGGACATGTCAATGTATCATTCCATGGGATCAGGAATGCTGAGGCTGGAAAATTGATGGCAAATGCCAGCATATCTTGGAAATTGGTGGTGGTATCAATGGTGTCACCCAGCAGGGCCAGCAAGAATTCCTCTACCAGGGCCTTTTTCACAGGGGCAAAGTCATCTGCCACATCTTGGACCACACATTTGAGATATGTCCATTCCATCTGCAAGGACTTGGTCAATCCTGCAAACGCAGCCTGGGGATACCAAGGGGCAGCTCCTACAAAAAGGCAGATGCTCTCAACCCATTGGTCAATCTGTGGTTGGAGCYACTTGGCTTTGGCTGTGCCAGTGCCAACAATAAAACCTCCAATATAATGGTAACTGTCCCCAAAATCAAAATTGGATTCCTGGAGGATTTCCCATGATCTGGAGGGAGGCAATGAGATCCTCAGTTTGCAGCCAAGGACATATCAAAATGTCCATGGGCTTCTTGACAGTTTGATCCAGTATGCCAAGGCTGACAAATTCCACTGGGAAAGCCAGCAAACTTTGCAGATTGGCTGTGGCATTGACAGAATTGCCCAGCAGTGCAGACAGAAATTCCTTGGCAAGCGGCTTTTTAACAGGGGCAAAGGCAGCAGCAACATCTGGGACAACACACTGGAGATAAGTCCATTTCATCTGGAGGGACTTTGTCAAGTCTGCAAAGATAGTCTGGGGATAATAATGGGCAGCCCTGGCAAAAAGGGAAAGGTTGTCAACAAGATGCAGTTGGAGCCGTTTGTCTCTGGCTGTGTTAGTGCCAATGAAACCTGCAATGTACTAACAGTGGTGGCTGTTTCTGAAGTCAAAATTGAATTCCTGGATAATTTCTTGAAGATTGTCCCAGTCCATAGGAGGCCCAACAAGAGTCCTTTTTGTCCATTCCAGAAAACTCTCCTGTTTGGGGTCAAACTGCAGAAGCAGTCACATGGTACCTGCAATCTGAGAGACAAGGCCATGCATGACAGCATCATTGGCAAACCACAGCTGGACAACCCCTGGGAAAGCTTCACAAAGTTTTTGCAAGTGGAATCAGTGAAATCCTGCACAATACCATTGACAGCAGATCACCCTGAGTGACTCCTTCCTGTGAGAGCAAGACCAAGCAGTTCCATTGAGGATTACCCCCTTACAATCAGCTGGGTGGAATGTCTGTAACAGTTGAAGACAAATTGTGGGCTGACTAGCCRCAGGTGGCAGACAGTCTAGAAAAGTGCTTTTTGACTCAATTTATTGCAGGCCTCAACTTGATGGTGCCAACTTGCAAGCCCACGCATAAATTGAAGTTTCCACACTTGGCTGTAGCAAGGGGGGAACCTACCACATAGAGAACACACTTTGCCATCAAAGAGCAATAGATTTCTCCCATTCCAACAGGGCGTACACTCGGCTGTTTGTCCAGCCCAACAAGCTAACAAGCTATCAGAACCCTGTACACTTCCCATGGCAGATGGTGATTGGCTAACCAAGAAGTGGTGAGATGGGCAAGCTCCTTGCAGTGTTGATGGGAATAATGGCTGTATCTGAGTAGCCACATTTTTAGTTCCTCACCACTGGTCTCACCAGGGTCAGTGGCACCCAAGAGCTCTGCAGCCACAACAATCTTGACCACATTCTGGGTGATTTGCAATGGGAGCTTTGTTGGAACYGTGTCATAGGGCTCAAACACACAGTTGGGAGTGYCAAGCATTGTAGGATTTCCCAAAGGATAATGTACCTCCTGAGGTATTCCAAAGAGTCATGTCTACTACACTATGAATTCAAGAATTGGTGCCATTCTTAGTAGTAACCTACTTGTTGTTCTGATCTACAGCAGGGAATAGTAGGAACACTAAAATGCTCTACATCTCCACAACACACAGATTAGCATGTGAAAATAGTGTGTTGGCACCACTTTAAATACTGAATAAGTTAATAGTAGTTCATTTTTTTATTACACTTTAAACCCAATTCTACATGTTATTTTGTGCAATGAAAAATAAAGGGATTTTTGATTTTTAGTTTTTAATTTTATTCATTATTGGCTACAGTGCACTGAACTACCACTATCATTTGTGCACAGTAGCCACTGACCTTGAAGAATTCTCACTGCTCTGGACTTCCAGTAGAAACAAAAAGAACTTTTTTGGTGTAGAATTCATGTAGGCCGCAGTACCCCAAAATTGCAAACAATTTAGTACCTTGACAAAAAAAATCATTTTTAACTGAAATATTCAGTCATTATTGTTATAATCAGTCATTCCAAAATTTAASAGAACCAAATTGCTCCCAAGACTAAAAAACAGTCWAATTTGTGATTAGTTATTCCATTATTGAAGAGAACCAAATTGCTCCCAAGACTCAAATAAATCCTACATCATATTTGTGATCRGTCATTCCAAAATGTAAGAGAATCTAGGTCCTCCCAAGACTCAAAAATTCAGTCATTATTGTGATCAGTCAGTCTGGCAATAAAAAGAACCCTACCGTACAACAAATAATTATGGACAGCTTTGGCTATGSTTGTGATAGACACAATGCACCAACTGGGGCCTTCTTGGCCAAGATTGAGTCCTACAAGAAATACTGCCAGCAGTTCCTCTCCAAGAAGTTGGGGAGCAGTAACACAGAGGATAGCAATGCCAACACCAACATTGACAGTCTCTACAATAAAATTTAGCCACCAGCAGGAGGTGGGACAACTACCACTACACCAATGAGGACTCATTGTCATGGTTGGTCATTCCAKAATCAAACTGGTTATTTTTACATGAAAGAGAATCCCATTCCCAAGACTTGGTGAATTCTGTCACAAGCAAACATGTAACCATAAKAACAGAAGTRGTGGGCAAAACCCCAAGAAGAGTTGTAAACTAGCAGAGGCACATCAAGAAGAAGCAGGTTGCTTCTCCTCTTACTACTAGTAGCTACTGCATATTTCCAACAGGAGGTTGCAATTACTTTTTGTGACAAAAATTCCAGGGAATAGTTAGTAACAATCCAATAGTTGTCATTCTTGTTGCTTTCCTCTGCTTTCCTCAAAGATAAGTGATTCCAATGCCAAGAAAGTGGTGTGAGAAACAGTGGAGGATATGCTGGATACTGTCATTCTGGTGGGAACACATGATACAGCATGAGTAATGAAATTAATAATTCTTTTGATTGAGAACTGTAGCACAGCCAATTGGTAGGGTTCCTACTATGCATATGATAGTAGACAAAACATAACCCAAAATATGACAACAAACAAGAAGCTACCAATGAGTGTTTTGCATCAAATCCTGCATAAAAGTTTTGATGTTGCCATCCAAGGAGAGAAAAAGAATTTGGATGCTGTTAAAAATACATCATGTACTAATGGAAKCTTGGAAAATATCAGACACTACTGCTATGCAAAGTTGCATGATACTCAAAGAAGAGATGACACAAACTGGTGCCTACTTTGCCAGAGACTCCTCTGGCCTCTGCTGTTACAAATTGGACCTTCCAAATCACTTTGAAACAATTTTTCAACTAATCAAAAAACCAGCCCACCCACATCAATGGTCATGCCTTAATCAAATCTCCTTGGTGGCGGGAGGTTTTGCCCTTCAGAGCAGCTGGGAGCATTCTTCCCCCCATGCAGAAGTTCTGGTTATGGTGGCAGTGCATCTTCTGGTATATTTTTTAYTACTTTGCAAAGTTGAGTTTTCAAAACAATAKGGAACAGGAAAAAATCCATAGTTAGATTGTTGCTGCTTTTACTTTGACAATAAAACATTGTTGATCTGATTGATAAAAAAGAGGACTCCAAGGGRCAATTGGTAATTACTGCAATAAGAACTACATACAAGAAGATCTTAAGGCAACCATGAATAATAAATWGCAGTCCATCTGTTTTCTATCAGGGACTGGTGGTGGTGGTACTGGAAAATCAAATGTACCAATTCATTCAACCACTCAACCCAGCAGTGGGAGGAGGATGAGACTCCCTCCTCTTGTCAACAAAAGATTGAAAAAAGAACACATTTCTTGAACTTAAAAGAACAACAAACCAAGCAATTGGATTTATTATGTTGTTGTTGTGCTTTCGTCACCAACAAGAGTTGCTGCTTGTTCTTGCTCTTGTTGTTGTTAGAACTTCTACTACTACTACTACTACTACTACTACTACTACTACTACTACTACTACTACTACTACTACTACTACTACTACTACTACTACTACTACTACTACTAC